TAAAATTGGCCCATAGAGGGTTTAAACTTTAAAAAAAAAAAAAAAAAAGGATTGGAAGTCAGTCAAAAATCTGATTGGTGCATCTTCTGCCCCTTCCTCCTCCATACAGAACCTCAATCTTTATTTCCCCTCATTCATTATTCTAGTCTACTGAACTAACCATGCCGGATGTATTGTATATACAGGATGACTTCTTTCCAAACACTTGCATTGTAATGATATTCCTGAAACAAGAATTGCTCTCCCTTTTTTCATTGAAATAAAAAATAAACTCCGAATACAGGTAAAGATAAAACATATGGATTATTTATTTATTTAAAATACAATGAATGAATTGAGATACATTTAATTTATTAATACCTAATTCTCTGCTCGTGATTCTTGTTTTAACAAGAAAACAAAAAAGGAAAAGCTCTGTACATCAGTAAGAGTGATTCTCAGAGACCAGGACCAAAAGGCCCCACCGTTGCCATGGCATTACAGCTGCTGTGTAATGATGCAGGCTGATCTTGTAACTTTTCCTCAGTACAGTTATACAATATATACAGTATGTAGTCTCCCGTGTGAGGAGTCGCGGTGAGAAAAAAAACCTCACACACTGCACACGTCAAATCGGATATATCCTATGCCCACTGCCCGAAAAGAGAAGTCCTACTCAAACTGAGTATCAGACAAAAAAAAAAGAAAAAGAAAAAACAAAATCATCTACTCATGAGAGACAGAAAGGAGTGCCCGAGGTTCAGCTTTACATAAACGTTTTGAAAGAAGGAACACAAAAAGATGGAGTTCCCAGGAGCACACAGCCACTGAAGATGCAACACAGTCAGCGCTCCTCTCCTGACGCCGGCCGACTGCCTGGTGGCCTGCAGCCACGCCCGTCCGTGTCCACGCCCGCAAGCTGACCGCTGACCACTGGAGCACACCGTCACCCTGGAAAGGGCAACAGGCTGGTGGTGTTTGATCCTATGGTAATGGTCCCTAACGTGTGGAGTCGTGTGTGTGTGTGCGTGTTTTTGTTTGTGTTTTATCTACGTGTCTGGCTCCTGGTAGTGGAGAGGCGATATGAAGATGCTTGGCACTTATGGTGCCTTAGCTGGACCGGACACAGCTGGCTCTGGGTGATGGATGGAGGCGACGCCAGACGACTTGAATTTGGGGAGGTGGAGGCCGAACTTGTTCTCCACTCCGGCAAAAGTGGCTGCGGCCAGGCGATAGCCTCCGACGTGTTCCGCGTTGATGGGAGGAAGCTCTAGATTGGGAGACTTGGGTGACGGTTCTCTTCCCGCCGGGCGACTGCAGAGAGCAGAGATGATGAGTGGGTCACTTGTCTATTCTAATCTATAAATGAGCGACAAAATCAAAATCGAAGCAGAGTATCGCTTTTCAGTTCGCCACCACTCCTACACATTTTGTGTCCAAATTCGATACTTTTCCCGATTAAAGTTTGTCCAAATAGGACGATGGGGTCTTAAAAAGTTTATAATGATTATTTGTGGGATTTATTGTAATAATGAATTAAGTATTTTTTAAAAATTGATAAGATTTTATGGCTTTTGAGTTTTTCAGTTTGTAAAACATCATTATGCAGAGTTTATCACCTGAATTACATTTTATGATAATTTAGAAAATGGGAAATAAATACATGTTCCCACACTTTATCTTCTTTTATCCATACTTGCAAAATCTTCAAATTGAAAATCCAGATTTTTCCAGGCTGGAATCCTAAATATTTTTATTCAATTTCTCTCTAATCAGCTTTACTTCTTTAGGAAAATAACGCACAAAAAAAACGTTAATTACAGAACAAAAATAAAAAAAAAAACAACTTACTGTCCACCAAAATCAATGTAGAACCATCGCTGCAAAAGTTCGTAAGTCACCAGAGTCACACCAAACTGAGGGGAGGACCGACACATTCGAGCTAGAGGAGGAAAAGACACGTTGCATCTTAAGTGGGAAGGAAAGTACAAGTGTGTGTGTGTGAGTGTGTGTGTTCAGGAGTACGGAGAGAAACGCACCTCCTGCTCCCTTCCACAAAGCGCTGAACCCTTCCTCCCTCATGATCTTTCTGAAGCAATCGATCACCCCTGAGTAGGTGGTCTGTCCTGCTCGTGCTGCGACCTGCAGACGCGTCTTAATGACATCAGCAGGTGTAACGAGGGAGGCCGCAGGGATACCTGGGGAAACAATTACAAATATTTTTAAAAATATGGTTTTTATTTATATTTTCTCATTTAGTACTCAAGGACAAACAGATGTTATCAAGTTTGTTGATGAAGGAAGGATTTCTGATAAAACATCCCAGCTAACATTAGTTGGCTTTTTTTTTTCCTAACTAAAAACCTAATCAGTTTTGAAGTAATCCTATACTGCATTTATACACAACCTCAACTTTTGAATAATACAGCTACACAGATTAGGCCGGAGAGACAGTCAGTTCTGCAGTGCAGAGTTAAAACAGAAAATATATTTTAGCAATATTCCTCCAGCTAAATAACCAGCTTTGCTTGACCTAATGAAAGAATTTGTTTTAACATAACCATGAGACACATTTTTTCTCAAGCTAAATTTAAGCACACTTAAGTTACCGTAACAACTGTAATTCTATGTTACCTGCGATTGCTCCAGCAGTAAGAAGCTGCAGAGGTCCTAGTCTGCCTTGTTCATCGGCAAATTGAGTCTTAAGGTGAGCGTACGCAGGGAAGTAGATGGCCGAGAAGGGAATGTCCCTTAGGAAGCAAGCTTTAGCACCCTGGACAAACATTAAGACACAATGAATTCCACGGGGAAGAGGGGAGGTGAAAAAAACAGTAAGTGTAAATGCCAGAAGGAGGAAAATACTAAAAGATCTGTGCACTGACCTTATACAGGCCGAAGAAGCCAAGGTCACGGACCACGCTCAAAGCGCTGACCCGAGGCCCAGTGGTGATCTCACCTGCGACCTGCAAGCGAATCTTCACAATCTCCAGAGGGTTGGTGAAGATTACCTGCGAGCCTCCGGCCTGAATTAAAGGAGAGTCCAGGGATTATTATTCATTTTTATAAAAAAAAAAACAAAAAAAAAAACGACGAGCTGGGAAGCAGTTCTTTAAAATTAAACTTCACTGAGCTCAAAGGGGAATATTGAATTTAGATGAAAGCTTTACGTCACCTTCTAAGGTATGTAAAGCTTAAAGCAAAGTTATCAAAAACAAAGAAAAAAACAACATATTCCCTTGGATACGGTCTGAAATGTTGCTCTAGAAGCAATTTTTTTTGCCTCTATTTATAGTGAAAGATTTTTAAAAAGGTATCCATGCAATTTAACAACGCATAATGAAACTGCAACTTATTCAATAAGTGCACCCTAAGGGAAAAAACAAAAAACAAAACAAAACAAAAACAAACAAAAAAAACAAAAACTGTTTGCTACTTACACAACCACCAGCCAGAATCTCAGCAAAAAAAGGAATTGTGTCGTCTTTCTCGGTGAATTTATCTCTTACAAAGTCATTCACCTGTGAAAGACAAATACAAAACAGAAGATTACACTTTAATCCATTTTATTTGACATAAAACGTAATGCATAACTGAAGTAGAAGGAAAAGGATTCATAGTTTTCAGAATCTGAACTGCAATGTGCGTTTCTGTTCAGTAAACCTTGATCTTTTTGTTTTCACTTCACAATAATGTGATACTGTGTGCAAAACACAATAACGTTTCTGGTTTTACCAGAAATAAATGTGGAAAAGTTCATCATTGAGCAATACCTTCACCTTCCAGCAAGAACAGCAAAGCTAAACATAACTAAGCTGTACTACACACACGATGCCGGTAGAAGCAGGATGGAATAAATGTGACAGCATCTCTCACAATCTTGATTAAAGACTCTAAATCTGGTGTATCTTATCTTTAGAATAATATAAATATACATATATAAAAAAGAGCAGACACTCACAGTGAGTTTGATAGCTTTCTCAGGCGCCACACCGATGAGCTGAGGAACCAGACCTGTGGAGTGACAGACGACACTTAGGCCATTGCCAAAAACAGAAAAAACAGCAGTGTAGGCGAAATTAAGAGGAAATAAAATGAATCAGTAGCTGAGAACACTGAAAGGAGAGAACAAGAAGTTGCATGGTGGCATTATCTCCAACAAGATAAGGTAACAGAAATAAACTACTACTTTAATGAATCCGTCATAAAAACACAAGCATTAAAGTTCATATGAATAAGAAAGGGATTGTAATGTGAACAAGAGATTAGATAGAAAGCACTGGGAGTGCTGCCTACCTCTGTAGAAGCCAAAGAAACCTTCGTAGCGGAGAACCTTCTTTGCGCAGTCGAAGCTGTTCTTGTACATCAGCTCTCCGACAAATGATCCGGTGGACCTCTGGTTCTGCATTCGGGTCTTCACCAAGTCGATGGGATACACTGCTGTAGCTCCGGTGGCTTTAGAACAAACGGAAAAGATTTTTTAAGGTCAGGCGTGACTGATCCAAAGACATACTGGACTGACCGGTCCGAGGATAACCTACCGCCAGCGATGGAGCCCAGAGTGAACCTGTAGGCCGACTCTGCAACCTGGAGCCACACAGGCCTGGACGATTCCCCCTGGGACTGGTGGAGATGCAACAGAAATGTGACTTTACAAATGAAGATCAACAACTCTTAAGTTTTTATATATATATATATATACATACATATATATATATATCTAAAAAATATTTTGCTATTGATACTGAATGTCTTCTAAAGTGTGAGAAGCTTTGCTGCTTCAAGATATTTAAACATACCGGTAAATGACCTCTTTTTTGATCACAATGCACTTTTAAACCCTTTCATGCTTTAAACTGGAATCAAATTCCAGACTGTGCAAAACACGTCTTCAGTTACCTTAGCATTGTCCCGTCATACAATACTCACATGAAGTGCGTGAAAATAGGGAACAAAGATGCAAATAACAAAAAAAGGCTCCCAAAGAAGCATTTAGGAAAATGCTAAAATGATGTCAGAAAGTAATGGGTTCCTCTCTCCAAATAAATTAACTCTTATTTGTCAAAAAATGTTCCTGTTTATGCGACATCCTGCGTGAGGACAGAAGGGCCTAATTACAGGCATAGGATAAATATTTTAGCCAATAAGGATGTACACCTTTAACAGCTGACTAATGTTTTTGCAAATCAAGTAGGATCGTTTAATTAAACAGGAAAAAAAATCTACAGTGACATCAATCAGAAATGCTTGAACAGTTAATCCCACCTGTTTCTGGGATTCAACCAGATTATAGGGGAGACTGCCCTCCTCTAGTGGAGCTATCCTTTCAATGTCGGCCAGGTTCAGACGTCTGAAAAACATTATTTTATTATTTACCTACATCACAGTAATGCACAAAGTTCAGAGTATTTCCTGGGAATTCCAGTAAATTTAGTAATGGTATATATTCAAGATGTAAATTTGCCAGATTACGTGAGTAGAAGAGGTTTTACCCAGAAGCAGAGTGCAGGCCTGACAACTGGTACAGAATATCAATTTCCATAGGAGTAATTTGACCAAACTTGTTGGCAGCATGAACAAATTCCTCTGCAGAAACGGAGAAAGATGGGAATGAATGACTGCAAACTAAACAGACTTGTGAAATACAAAACTTTAAAAAGAGAGCAATGCGGTCTCACACCTTTAGTCACTTGTGTGTCCTTCCGTGTGCCGGCCATTGTGCTGTAGATCTTACGGATCATCTCCATGTTGTTCAGGAGGGAGTTGAAGGCGTTGAAGTAGGAGAAGCTGACCATGTGAGCAGTGCTGCCCCCTGCAGCCTAGGGGGGGAAAAAAACAACACAATAAATCACATTTTATCGTGACACAAAAACTCGGGACTGATGGGGATAAAACTTGGAGACAAGGTCTGAACAGAACTTAAAAGATGATCGCAACAAGAATTTCTCAAGGATCTTAAGAACTTTTATCACCTTTGATCATGAAACCCAAATGAAGAAAAGAAAAAGATTTCCTGAGTGAGGAGATTTACAGTCCTCTGAAGGTTAGTGTGAGGAATTGTCAAAAAAAAAAAAAAAAAAAAATCTTACTATCAAATCATAGTTTCTGTTTTGACTTTTGTCCATCTGTCTTGCAGGCTTGAATGAAGACATCAGTGCACGCAAAAAAACACTCACTGAAACGAGATTCTCCTCCACGAACGGTGTGAGCATGTGGTGCCGGATTGTGGACATAATGTCACTGAAGTCCAGCGCGGAGATGGCGCCATTTTTCCCCTTGTCCTTCTGGGCAAACGCCTGGCGTGCGTGCTCCAGCTGCAGTTCCTGAAAACCACGTCACGAGGCCGAGCGTAAGAAACGGACAAAATGTGTAACGGAAACTCAATACGGACAGGGATCGAAGGTAAAAACAAGTGTGTGCGCATGCGGCGAACCTGCAGGAACTGGGTGAACTCCAAGTAGCTGAGCTGTTTCTGGCGGTTGTTGCCAAAGTGGAGACGGATGAACTCGCACTCCCAGTTGAAGGGAATGTGGTGGTGCACTGTGGTCTGGCTGAAGATGTCTCGCACATTCTCTACAGCGAAAGCACAAGACATGAATAAAATTCCGCGCACACGGTGCCCTGCAAAATGACAGAACTTTTTCAGGTTACAAAGATGAAGAGTTTTTACAATTCCTCCTGGCGAAATGGATCGTGCTTAATCAGAGTTGATGGAGTGTGTCTGGGAACGTCAGCTTTCAAGGCTTGCAATAGGTTTCCAGTCTCCACTTTGACTAGACCATTCTACCTTGTTCAGGAAAAATATGTTTACAGCATAATACTGTTTGTTCCCTAACAAAACTTTCCGGCGGTTACCAAACAGCTGGATTTACACTGAGATTAAATGACACACAGATGGACTTTGTTTAAACACTGGTTGACCACTTTTGACAATTATGCGTTTTATTTAAGATTTTACCAAAAGGTGCAGGGCATAAATTTACAGTATATTTGTTAAAAATGTTTTCAATTTTATTTTTCTTCCACTTTACAGTTACATACTGCTTTGTGTCGGTTTATCACATGAAACTGACATATGATAAACATGGAAGTTTGTAGTTGTAGAATGACAAAATGTGAAAAAAATTCCAAGGTGTATGAACACTTTCACCAAGGCATCATTTTGTAATTGAACTATATTTGACTGATCTTGTTAATGCCACAACAAAAAGCCTGCGTGTAACACAGGAAAGTAAATAAAGGAGGAAAGAAACCGGTCATGAGAGTGATTACAAAATTCCACTCATGTGCCCACTGACTAATCTGGTTAACAATTCTATGCTGGGTAATGATTTCCACAAATATAAGGTCAAATTAAAGTTATGTTGAACTTTAAGTTGTAAAGTTCAACTTTACAACTTTAAGTTGTAAAGTTCAACATAAGATAAAGGGTCACTTCAAATACAAAAGTGTCTTTTTGACACCGGATGTTATATTTTTTTTAATGGATACCTAGTCAGGATGCTGAAATAATTCAAGAAAATTTTAACCAAAAGCTTCAGCGATAAGAACAAGCTTACACCAAAACACTTCAGCGTCGTACAGTATTTTTTGTTAAGTGAAAAACACATACCAAATGAGACGGTGCCGGTCCCAGTGTTATCAAACAGCTGGAAGGCGACTATAAAGAGGGCGTCGGGCGCACACAGCACCGATTCAAAAGCAAGAAACTCCTGGAATGAGATCAGCCTACAATTGGGTGTAGGTTGAACAAAAGGAGCACAAAATCAATTATCTCATAACGGAAGGCAAAATTAAAAAGCAAAGCTGGATCATACAACACCGTCAGACAAAGAACTCTCTGATTTCACGTAGGCGTTATTAGCAAAAAAAAAAAAACACATTTAAACAGCAATTGTGTGCATGTTGCTGTATATGTATGACACAAGGCCTGCTGCTGAGTCGCACGTAGTCCTATCTTATCTTTAAGCATAATTACTGCTACTGACCTGCAAATGTCATAAGAAATGAATTATTAATGATAAGCCAGGGGTTTTGTGTGTCTGTGCGCTGACTGCAGCAGCTTACCCGTCCTTCGTGGTGTCGGCTACCGCGGCGATGAGTTGGACCGTTTTGGGGTTGTGGTGAATCCGTGTGTGCAGTCCAAGATACTTCTGGACAAAGTCTTCCGGGGTCATGAACCTATCGCCATCCTTGTCCACTATGCTGGCGTACTAACAAAAGAGAAAAGACAAACGACCCTTTTCAGTAATACTCAGGCATTACATTTGAAAAACTGGAGTAGCTAATACAGTATTTGTAGCGCGGCATTGACCGCACGCGCCTGGGCACATGTGAAGGTATGCAAACAAATGTGCGCTGATGCTTTTGGCTCGAGCTCCTCGGTTATCTGACCTGTTAATGTCAGGACACTAAAATCTGCTGACCCACTTACAGATCACACGCCGGGTCACACACTTGACATGTAGCGGACAGCAGAGCAAGGTGAAGGCACACAAAGCAGCACCATGATTACACAGAGAGTCTCTCATGGTATAATTACCATGAATAGCAATTAAAACCAAAACATTTGAAATGATCCAATTGCTTTTTTTTAAAGCAATGCTGCTAGAATATAAGCATATATATATGTATATATGTGTATATATATATATATATATATACACATATATACATATATATAAATAAAACGTTTTAGGAAATTGTAATCAAGTCATCTACAACATTTATTGATGTTTTGAGTTTGAAACCAAAACTGAAGGATGCTAAGTTTAAGAAAACATAGTAATTGGACATAACAGCATCTAATATTGCTATTCTACTTTTTATAGAGTAACATAAATGTAACAAGTTAGTCAAGAACTTTCAGGCAGCAGGTTGGGAGGGGAAGTGCTTAAACTGCTAATTTTAGTAGTTTTGGAAACAACGTTGATGCTGGTTCTGTCACTGCCCCACACTTGCTCTGTGTTTTCTGGTAAACAGCTGTTTTAGTTTGACTGTAGTATTTTTTATTTAAACAGAGCATGAGAACTGGTGTGACGTTCTTTACTGGCAGGTTTACAATTCAGAAATTATTTTTTCAATTTTGGATAGTGTGCTAGCTTTAAGCTAAGCTTTGCGGCATTCAAGAACCAGAGAGAAACTACTGTCTGATAGTACGGCATAAAAAATAAATATATTTAAAAGTCATGCAAACTACAGCAAGCACAAATGACACTTTTCAATTGAGACTTTCAACTGATTTGTCTGCAAAGGGCACTTAGTTCAAATCAGTTTATTGATGTAGTGTTAAATTATAATCAGTGTCATCTTAATTCAAGTACAAAAATCAATCATATAGTCCTATTTATACCAGTTTGATCAAGGTCTGTTGATCATATAATGTCACCGGGTAAAAAGTTATCTATTAAAAGGAGCTCAGTAGATTGCAACGTCATTGACTCCAAGGACAACTGGTGAAAACTTTTACTCATCTAAGAAAAGAAGGCTATTTGCAAACTGGTAATATGTCGTTTTGCACAACCGATGTTAGTTTTATAGGAATAAAAACTGTTAAAGCTTTTTACCTTCTGGAAAATGGTTTTCAGCTCATTTGGGTCCCCACGTTTGGTAGATTGCACCTACAAGCAAACACAGAACGAATAAGCAATTCAACAGTGACAGTGTAGGTTGTCAGGTTTCCAAGCAAGCAAGCTGCTGATTCAGTCAGGTTTTTACAAGGCGCTGCACTCATCGCAGCAGAAAACGAAACGAGCTAACTCCATTCAACAAAAGCAGGAAATGTCACAGGAATGTCAAAGCTGTTAAAGAAAGGGGCTCGTCGTCACTAAGCTGGAAAAGTTAGGTGGACAAAATTATATTACACTCTACTGGCAAAGACCTAGAGATGGAGAAACCGGGTAGCAAGCTAGCATAGAGAGGCAAACTGCCACGACATGTTAACGTTTGCGTCCACAAAATGCGAAACGAAGAGTACGAGCAAAAGCCCGAGTCTTCGCAAACAGTGCCACTTCTGCTGCTAACCAGACTCTCATACAAGCGGTTTCTTATGGTTTCCGGCTAATTCTGAGTCGTTAATGTCTCATCAAGGCCAACCGCCGCAGGGACGGCAGTTAGCCCTAGTGATGCTACAGCGTCGGATTGCACCGCACCCGAGACGCCCTCCCCGGACACGACCACGCAGCCGTGCTTCAATAACTCATACGCGACAAAAAGAGCAGAAAACACCAACAGTCACGAGAGTAAAAGTGGGGAAATGGATAAAAGACCAATGCCCAAGTCACCTTGACCGCCATGCTGGTTTGACGTCACACGCAGTGGGCGAGCGAGCAGCGCAGACGCACCTCAGCCCTAGGTCTGAGGAGGAAAGTGAGGAGCGACCGGTTAAAAAAATAAAACTTAACGCACAAATCATCACAAAATAACCAAAACAGAACAATTTCGGATTAAATGTGACTCAGGGGTCTTACTATACTTCTATAATGCGATAACACTCAAATACAGAGGAGCTTATGTGAGAAATCTTACATCACTCTCAGCGTGTGTGAACAAGCTGCGGATTGTTGCCTGTTTTTTTAATACCTGGACTATTGGTCAACAATAACGACCTGCGTCACCAATACTCTACAACAAATCTGAAAGTAGATCAGCGCAACCACATTTTAGAAGAAGGTTCAAAACATTAAAATGACAAAAGAATTTATTTCACTGAAATAAGTCCAATGTTTAAATTTAGCTATATCTTTATAAAAATTGGGTCAATGCTTGTAATACTTTAAATCAAGTTTGACTCAGAAACACTTGGAAGACTGCCCTGCAATGTGATGAACCACTTTCTCCTTTCAATTAAATAATTAAGAATAAAGTATGTTGCAACATAGAGTCAACATTTATTGATGTTGACTCAATAAATGTCGACTCTATTTATTGAGTCAACATTTATAAAATCAAGTTTGACTCAGAAACACTTGGAAGACTGCCCGGTAATGTGAAGAACCACTTTCTCCTTTTAATTAAATAATTAAGAATAAAGTATGTTCCAACATAGAGTCATAGAAAGCCATCTTCTCTATCATAGCTACATTCCTACACCAATGTTCCTATTATATATGGGGTTGCATTTGTATCAAAAATAAGTAGATTATGATTACTTAACAGGCTGGAAACATTTTGCCCGTATTAAATTTAAAAAGAAAAATTGAAAGTAAATAATTTTAATAACAAGCTACATTGTATTTGTAATTGAAAAACTATTCTTAGCACACACGTTTTAGTAAAGGTTTTTAAAAAATATTATTCAAGCAGAAGGCCAAAGTGTATCACTTACTAGTTAGACTAGTTTTTTTTTATTCAATATGATTTTTAAGTTTTTTTTTAATTATAACATACATTTCATTTTTTAGGCGTTTTTAGGATTTCTTTTATTTAAAAAAATATTTACAACTGACTGTGGCTGTGTGTTCACAGGTGATATGACTAATGTTTGTTTTCACTGATAAGGCTGTGACCCTCTGCTGTGTGACTTACCAGGGGTTGTCACATTGCTTAAAATAGAGGTAATGTTATCTATTTTTAGTTGTTTATGGTAAGGGTCAACAAAAGGGGTCAAATATACTACTGACCTCAAAATTTAGAATCCAGTATTACAATAGCTCGGTCCATACAATGTGAAGTGTATGATAAAGTCCTAGCTTTATATATGTGATTATGTTTGATTATTTAGAAATTAAACAATCAAAACAACTTAAATAAAAGAGACATTTTATTTATTTGGTAATTAGGCAGTAGAAAAAAAAAAGGAGGAGATGGCAACTTTTAAATCTACTCCTGTTACCTGACATTTTGGGCTAAATCTGTGTGCTGATGGGTTTGACACATTTGACAGTTAGCCATAATGTTCAATAGAGGGCGCCAAAAAGGCTTAAACATTTCTGTAGCTTAATCATTTGAAAACTACAGGAGTAACAACAGACACTTAACTCTGTTGTTTGACTGAAAGATGGGAATGGATACGCCAAAAAAAAAGGCCTAATGTAAATAAAGCTGAGTCGTTACACAAGACCTGAGTCACGTGACAGTTGCAAAGTTAACCAGTTATAGTCACATGACCAATGATTTTTCGATCACGTGACCACAACAGGTTATATTTAATGGCGGCCGCCGTTGCTGGCTGCTCTGTGGGGCTCCCCAGCAGGAAAGGTATTTAATGAACTTAGCACTTCGATTCAGCTACTTCAGTGTTAGTCAGTTAACATTAGCGGCTTAATTTAAAACAGCGACATATAGTCTATAGCAACCTTTACGAAAATCCCTTTTGAATACACTGTAAATTATTTATTTAGCTTATTTATGAGCAGAACACTATTTTAATCTATATTTGTATTGATTGCTATGAATAAGGTAACGTAAGAACAGCTTTTATGCTACAGCCGCCAATTCTGATTTTATTACTAGCATTTTATTACTAGTTTATGTGAGTGATACAGCGGATAATCGTAAACTGGATGGGAGAAGATGCACAGTTTTGATATCAAGTGTTTAACGCTGTCTCATCCAACTTTCCTGTGAAGGATCAGGCTTATTTGTGACCAAGCAGCATTTATAAAGACCAAAATAACACAGCAGAAAGGTCAAGGCTGACGGCTTTAGGTTGTAAGAGGCTGCAAGACAATTTAGACCAGGATAGAGGTTCACCTTATAGCAGAACAACAACCTTAAACAAACAACCAAAACTGCTGTGGAGCAGTTTAGATCAAAGCATATTTATGTACTACAATGGTACAGTCAAAATCCAGTCTTAAAGTGTGTTGAGTCTTTAGCAAGACTTGAAAACAAGTGTTTACAGATATTCTTCATATACTGACTGAGTGTGGGCTCACTGTACAAAGAAGAATGGGCAGATAGTTCAGTCTGTGGATGTGTAAAGCTAGCAGAAACCTACCCCAAAAAGCTGTGAAAAGTTCAACAAAATATTTGACTCAGAGGGACAGAATATAGACTTTTAAAAATATTTTTCACATATACCTATTTGAAATCTATTGATAATTTTTCTTCCACTTCAAAATTGTACACTCCTTTGTGTTGGCCAAAAACATAAGTAATCCTGTTATAAAATATTTAGGTTTTTGATTGCAACATGACAAAATAAAACAACAATGATCAAGGGTTTTAAATAGTTTTGCATGGCACTTTATATTCGAGTTGTATACTTCCTTGTCGCATGCATCATTCAGTAGTTAGTAATGTAAAGAAAGCATAAATAAGTACGACTCTTAAAAGTCTGAACGAAGGAAATCATATCTATTCTTTTAACAAGAGCATGAGCTTTTTATTAAGAACAATAAACATCATGTTTTTTGTAGGAGTGAATTGTTTCCTTCGAAGAGTTTCATCTCTCGGAAGGTGGAGTCGCTCCAAAGATCTCCTGTGTGAGCAACATCGTAGCTTTTTCTGGCGGAAATGGAAAAGTTCTCACAACGTGGTTCGGCCTGCTACTGTTCGGCCAGCCTACGCAGTACCTAAGGTATCATTATACTCTGGAAAAAAAAAAAAAAAAAAAAGATTTTTGATTCATTGATGGGTCTTTTAGTTCGAACTTCTGCTTAAACGTTGATGCTTTTGAACAATAAAGCCATGGGTCAAAAAGTAAACGCAGATGAGCTGAATAGAAAAACATGAAAGTGAATGCAAGGCGAAGGACGTTTTCTCACTTATCCATATTGTAACAACTTGCATGTTTGAATTTCACATTCCTGAAGCCTACTAGTCTATTTTTTCCCTTTTAGTTTTCAACTGGCTTCATTAATTGATGCTAGTTTAATCTAAACAGAAACTATTTAATTTCAGAGTTCAGTTCAGTTTAATTTACATGCATCTTTTCTTACCTTCCCTCTGACTGAAGCACATCGTGCAGCCTGACTACGTCAGCACTGGGCTGGTCCCAGAATGGCCAGACTACATCGAGATCAAGAACCAAGAGCAGATCGAAGGCCTTGCTAGAGCATGTCAACTTGCCAGACATGTACTTCTACTTGCTGGAGGCAGTCTGAAAGTAGGAATAAAACCGCCGCAAGTCTTGTTTAAGTTTATGTGTCATCAGAATAGAAACAACAACGTCTGTTATTTGTGGCTTTCAGGTTGGCATGACAACAGATGAAATAGACTTCATTGTGCACCAGGAGACAATCAGGCACAATGCTTACCCCTCCCCTCTTGGATATGGAGGTTTTCCTAAGTCGGTCTGTACGTCTGTGAACAACGTGGTGTGTCATGGCATACCTGACAGGTAAACGGTTTGAATAGTTGGCGAATTTCTTTTTAAAGTCGGGGTAAATCTTTAGATTAATTCTGTTTTCAAAGCTTTTTTAAATAAACTAAACTTGGGTAACATCTTTCCACAATGTCAAATCTTTAAAGAACAAAAACAAACAAATAAAAAAAAAAGTGCTGAATAAAGGGAACTTCCACGAAATCCACGTGTAGCAAGGTAGCAAATGTAAGGCGTTTTAAAATGTAATGCGATACCTTCTGATCTGCAGCCGCAAACTTGAAGACGGTGACATTATCAACGTCGACGTCACAGTAAGCTTATGCAGTGTTCCACATTTTATAAATAAAACCTTATGCTGCAGATGTCAACAGCACAACTCACGTTTCTTACCTCTGCTTTGTTTGGAACAGGTGTATTTGGATGGCTACCATGGTGACACCTCAGAAACCTTCTTGATTGGTCAGGTGGATGAGGTCGGCCAGCGGCTGGTGGAGACGGCGAGGCGTTGCAGAGACGAGGCCATCGCCGTATGCAAACCAGGAGCGGAGCTTTGTGTTATAGGAAATACTATCAGGTATACTTTGCGGCGAATACGCGCGTCAAATGTTTACATGCAACTGGATGTTGTTCTTTTTCTGTTTGACCACTTTACGTTAAATCGGTTCTGTATCTGCAGTGAAATAGCCCAGTCCGATGGCTTTCAAGTTTGTCCGTATTTCATTGGACATGGAATAGGCTCGTATTTTCATTGCCATCCTGAGATTTGGCACCACGGTAAGTTGGTTCCTAATTGCAGTAATGTGATTTAGACAATGACATTTTTTATTGCTATGAATTTATTATTATACATTCACAAGAAAAAAAACAGGGCTTGTATTGGTCCAGTTTGATAAAGAATGCTTCTCTTTTCAGCTAATGATAACGACATAACCATGGACGAAGGGATGTCTTTCACAATAGGTAGGATAATCCAGGGTTTTTTTTTTTCTATACCTAAATATGCAAATGTCTGGAATCAGTGGTTGTTAACGTCTGTTAATCTCGATCTGTTAGAGCCTATAGTGATGGAGGGGTCTCCAGAGTTCAGAATCCTTAAGGACAAATGGACCGCGGTGTCGGTCGACGATAAAAGGTAAGAAGTGCTTTGTATTTGTAACGTTTTATTCCACTGAAGCTGAATGATAGTGTTAGTAAGTAGCAGTGCACTGCTGAGCTTTGTTCAGCATGTGGCATGCAGAGTCTCCTGGACCGTACTGAGTGAGGTATGAACGTTTTAGGAGGGCTCAACTGGGGAGTGAGTTATGCTCGGCTTGTTACATTTTTTGCAGGAGGTTGTTACAAATCTGCAAATCGCCACAGAATAAACTCTGAAGTTTTTTGCTCACAACATAATTTGATACACACACACAAAAAAAGGTTGACAGCAGAATAAATAGTTTGGATTTTAGATTGAATACTGTGTCTTTGCCCTTAAACACTTAATTCACGGATAGAAGCTGATGCACTATTAGTTCCATTAGCTCAGCATTCATTACTTTTATGCTCATTTAGATGAAACTATATATAAGCCTATTGTAACCTTTTGAAAAATACATGTACTTTAATGTATCTAAATGGATTTAGAGAGCAGACAAATATGCTGTACCACGTGGTGTATATTGCTTGAAAACAACATAATTTAACTATACTAAACTAAACAAACACACTAGCATAAAGATGATTAGTCTATTTCAAAATGAAGTGTACTCATTACATTTGGTAATGCACAGAAAGTATACATCACAGTTGTATTTGTGCTTTTGTAAACATAGCAACTGAGAAAATGTTTACACTTGTTGGTTTACTTGAGTACGCATATTTGGTAGAAACAATCGGGTTACCCTACTTTTTACAAACATAGAATTAAGGGTGAAAGATGAGAGGAAAGGGCTGAAAGGGGGCTAAGTGGATTATTCTGTTTAAAATTGAATTTGCTCCTTACAAAATGTTGTTTAAATTTGGTTGTACAGGTCAGCTCAGTTTGAACACACGGTGCTCATCACAGCCGACGGAGTGAAGATTCTCACCAAACTACCAGAAGAAAACAATCTGTGACAGAAATGGACTGCTACCTCGAATGGTACATCAGTTGTGGGTCTAAGCTACTTTTTGTGATTTTAAAAAAGAAAAACAGTTATGCTACCAGATCTTAACGTAGAATGGCAAAGACCAAGGTTTTCAATCTTGTTCCGTGTGTTGTACGGGAGCTCGAGTCTTACTGCTGAAGCTGACCTAATTATGTGGTTGAGGCATTTCATTGTCTTACAAATTACGTTTTTCTTAAGCTAAATGCCAGTTTCCCCTCACATAAACCTTTTGTGTAAACCTTTTAATGTAACTTTCTAAGTTACATTAAGAAAATAAAATAATGTTCTTTTCTTTTTTTTAGTTTTACTCCCTTTGTGTGTTTAAGCTTGAAATTTATTTTTCTTGAAATACTTAGCTCTGAACTCTTCCTATCCAAATTCAGAAGATAAATGCAGCCAGGAGGTGGCAGCACAAACTCGGACTTTGCCGATAATGTTTCACGCCCTTTCAGTCTGTTAAATAGAAGCAGCTCTACACCCCATTTGACCCTTTTGTATTTGTTCCTCATTGCAGGGGTGGAAAAACCCGTGTGTAAATCTGAGTTTAAGCAAGCCTGCCTCTTGACACTGAAGTCTCCATGTTGACGTTAATCTAAAGCAGCTGTCATCAGTTATGCACCATCCCCAAGTTGCAGAGCCTGAAACTAATTGCTCAGAGGCTTGATAAGCACTGTGCAATGTAATATCTTGACTTTATATTTTTAGGTCAAATTAAAAAAGGAAGGCGTTAAGTATTTGCTCGGTGGAAGTAAAAGCAATCTATTGACTTTTCTTTACTGTGACCTGTCTCTGCATCCGGTCTTCAGATTGATGCAATGTTGAGCAAAACGCGAGAACAAGTTCAGACGAGGCTCTTAAAGTATCTTGAGCGCAACTAAGAGGTTGGCTACCGCTTTAGCCGCTACACCGCTATGAATGTTTGCGTAAATGCTGATAAATCTCAAGAGGCTCGGTAATATGCGATCCCAGCCCGTTGTAAGGGTGTGTTTTCATTTCCTGCTGGTGTGTGTGTGTGTGTGTGTGTGTGTGTGTGTGTGTGAGTGAGGCAGAGTGGGTATGTGTGGTCATGCCAACAGTTTGTGGGCGAAGCAGGAAGGATTAATCAAATAAAGGTGGGTCGTGTTCAGCCAGGATATGATTCAAGTTTTAACATATTAAATGATTAATATCAGGTGACACAACTCACTTATATTTTTGTGACACTTTCATTTAACGTACAGAAAAAACCCCTCCAAATTCCCAGGCTCCACATTTGATCACAGTTTTAGTTATTTGTTAAAGATCTTTGATTTTCAGGGCGGGACGTGCAAACCTGAAGGAGCTTGCACTCCTTATGAATCAGATTGTGATGACGCATACATTTTTTTTATAATCGGCATCCTGCAAATGATTGACGAAGAGCCTAACGTTCAGCTTGAGCATGGGATTTTTATGATGATGATAGATTCAGCAAAAGTGGAGAAGTGAAGGCAGAGATATGCAACATAGAATAAGTAGATAAAGCGAGGGGGTGGGGGGTACTTGAGGGAATTTTTGCTGCTGTCTTTCATTATTTTCCTGCATGTTGGGACTCAATCCCAAACCCTTTCTTTGCAGTTTTATTGTAAAAATCCTCAGCCAGTGGAGAAGTGGAAATCTTAATACTGGGGAGCGTAAGATTTTAATTTATTTTTTTTACCCAGCTTTTATAAATTTGTTACCTAAAGATGTTCCTCAAGCCTGTTTCACTTTCCAGGTGCGCATACCTAAATCCCTGTCTTTCTGTGAGTGAAGCTGTTATATTTCACACCTTTCTGGGACTTTTCACCGTGAAGCACCACAGACATTTGTGGTTTCCCTGGTGATCTGCAGCGTTGTGACATTAACAGAGTGACGCATCATTCCCAAACCTGTGCAGGCAGATATGCCTTATGCACGACAGACAAATGTTATCTGCTTATTCATACTCTGTAATGATTTGCTTCGTCAGTGAATCCAAGGGCTACACTAACACCTGAGCTTTGCTGAACCAGGACATCTGGCCTCAGGCTGAACCAGACTGGGTGACGCCCAATTCCTGAGGGTTTCTACAAACTGGAGGATAAGAAAGTGGAAATAAAGACAACAAAACATTCAAACACATCTTTTTGTATTTGCATTCATTTGTTTGTATGTTTTTAGTTTAGGTTATATTTAATTGATAAGTCTCCTTAATTAGGTTAACTAAACATATGTACGCATGGATTTAAAATTGTTCTACATGTTCTAGCAAACAAACTGTTAAAAACTATGAAAAAAAAAAAAGTAAACAGATCTGCAGACACGCACGGGGTGTTTTCTCTGATATTTACAAGGTTTAAAATGAACTAGACTTAGAATTTGAAATTTCTGGAGTCTTAGTACAGTGTAAATCTTGCTGTGAGCTCCTGGAATAAGAAATTCATCTACTCTCCCATTGTGTTGCCGTGATAACTGTTTATATCTTTTCAGTCTGTGTGAGTCTTTGTTCCTCTGAAAAACTTCTTGATCCTGAACAACCAAAGCAGCTTGCCAAACTATGAACAAGAGCGCTGTGTTACATGTAGTGTGTGTGTGCGCGTGGGCATGTGTGGGTGTGTGAGTGGATGGTATGCATTGCCCAAGGCTGCTCCAAAGAGACTGATAAATTATGTCTTGTTGTTTCTATTGTTTAAAGATTCACATCACTTAAATGTTCACTAGGAACACAGCACTCAGTGCAATCCTCTTTTTCTTTGGACTAGAGAAAAACAGGTTTTACAGCTTATATATATATATATATATATATATATATATATATATATATATATATATACTACATTATATTACATATTAGATTAGATAAACCTAAAAGGAACAAAATCCTTTACCCAAACCAAACACATTTCCCTTGATTGGTTACATAATTTTTCCAAGTGAAATAAACTAATTTTTAATAAATAAAAAAAATGTTTTGTGGCACAAATGTACTTGTGGTAAAAAGAACATACAACCTCTCTGTTAATTTCAAAGGTTTTGTGTAATAAATGATCTGTGTGATGGTGTTTTCTTTGGCTTTAACAGTTCGAGTTTTGGGTTTCAACTTGTACAAAATTGCAGTCTATTCTGAGAAGAAATGTGTTCAAAACATGGATTAGTAAATCTCGATTTGCTGCAATATACATTAAGTTGATCTGATGATAAAGAAATGCCATGAGCTCAGATAATATAATTCTCTGTGTGATGTTTAATTTGCCTAGGTTTTTACAGTGAAGAGTGGAAAGTACTGGTTTCCACCAGGGCGTGTGAAGCTGCAGTATCAAAGAAGTGATGCATCATCTTCAGGCTTGTTCAGGCAGATCTCGCTCGCACAAAGCTGAGTCTGACTGAATAATCCATTAAGCACGGTAGAAATCAGAGTTCCTCAGGGCTAAACAAAATGGTATTGTAGCTTCTTTGATGCATGACGTCTGGGTCACGCATCAAACTTTGTGCTTTCAGCAACAAAATTGAAAAGATCCCAGTTGTAAAACAGGCGGTGGCTATAAAAATGGCACTTTGGAAAGGATAAAATCCTTTTGTTTTACGTGACAGTTTGAAAAAAAAAAAAAAGAATAAAATCAGTACTGATGAGCCTGTTGTGACCGGACTTGGTCCTCATCAGTCATAATCTGCTGTGGGATATGCTCCTGTTCTGTGTTACCTTAACAAGCTGATCGCAAAAACAACTGTGCACCCAACTTACTGCTAGTCATAGCGTCACATTTTGACAAAGAAAAGAAGAGTAGAGAAGAAAAAATGGATAAGAGAAGAAATAAACTGCAAAGCTAAAAAGTTAACATTTACAAAAGGAGAAAAAATAAACTGCCTAGTAAAAAAAAACAAAAAACAAAGACAGTCCCTTTCAATCACCTTGGAGAAGCTCGTCATGTTTTTACATAATATGAAGCCATTTCAGAGTTAGTTGTCAGAATAGCATTCCTGCTCTCTGCAACTACAATAACAGGTTTAATCTTCCTCTTGTCAATCCTAAAAACATCCATATGTGCATTTCAGTCTGTAGATGAAATGCACATATGGATGTTTTATTTGTTTTATTTCTGCTTGCTAAATATGTCATTCAATATACTGTTCAGATTCTGAAACGGATTCAGTTATGAATGAAACAGCAGACAAAGACTCTGATGAAGACCAAGCTCGGTCACATATATTAATATTTGTCTTAAAATAATTGTTAATTATATAATTTGCCCATATTTTAGACTGGATTATACTGAGAAATTTTGATATAGAACATAGAGTAAAAAAAAAAAAAAAGTTACTTTCAAAATGAAAAGTGACATCCAATGGAGAATGTCTGGATTTTATGCTAATGCAAACTGCTACTGGCTAACAGAAACAGTGTGTTAAAATAAAATGTTCTTCCTCCAGTTTTCTGCATTTTACTCCCTGGAATATGTGATCCAGCTGAAGACTGACTTACTATTGAGCTCAGTAGTCAGTGAAATGGTATTGCTGCTGTTAATGAAAAGAAAACACACTAGTTGAGAGAAAAGTGGACATAAAAAGTGGAAACAAACTTAACCCTTTCACCCTTCTTTGCTTTCCAGCTGCTACCAAATATCAGAGCTAAGATGTATTATGTTTAGTCAATAATGCCTTTGAACAGGGACATTTGGCCTTGTAATAACATCTATCTTGACTTCTTTGACTATACAATCTTTCTGTTACAAAGCAAATTACTGCCATTTTTCAGGGTAGGGTGGACACTCCTTGTGTCAGAGTAAAGCAGTAAATCAGAGAAATAAAGTTTGACCTTTTCATGATGTTCTAGAACCCCTTTCACTTTAAAGGAGAAGAGAGAGCCCACTCTTCCAGAAAACTCTGCAACATACATGTATGTCATTTTTGATTGGCAAGACGTCTAATAATGTGCATCTTGTGCAGATTTTAGATTATAAATGTTTCTTTTTTGAAAATCCCCCCACATTATTCTAAATACTAGAGCGCAGCTCACAATAGCAATATGACTTCCCTTTATAACGGTTTACCTTCTCTGCAAATGAGATAAGATTAAAGAGCATATGTATGAGAAGATAAGGTATAAAGACAATGCACCTGATAATACATGAAACAAACATTATCTTTTCAGTAACATTGTTTCTTAGAATGTGTTTTTCCTTCACCAAATGAACCTTTTACACTTTGTGAACCAGTCAGATTACTTTACTTTTTTTTTTTTTTTT